TTCAGAGTATCAACCTGGCCGGTGTCAGGATGGGTCTTCCATAACGGGATGGCGTGTACACTTTTCGGTGTGCGCATTTCGACGTCTTGTCTTTGCGTTTGTGATGCTGCTTGCGCTCGGGATTTTGTATTTGAGGCTCCGCTGCCCCCCGTCTTCGGTCGCTGTCCCATGATTTTTCGGACTTTTCGAGACCGGCTCATTTTTTCGGGCTCGGAGTGTTCTGTTGTTCCGAATCGGTGTCGACGCCGGACGTTTCTTCCCGCGGGGTTTTTCCGGCGTTCCCATTGTCGGTTCTATTTTTCGGGATCGGAGTGTTCTGTTGTTCCGAATCGGTGTCGACGCCGGACGTTTCGTCCCGCGGGTTTTTTCCGGCGCCCCCATTGCCTGTGTTTGCCCCTGGGGTATTTGCCGTGGTTCAGCTCTCGGAGATTTCGGGAGTTCTTTGTTGGCTAGACTAGGTATTTCGGCGAGGAATCTTCGGTTTCTCGTGAGCTGTCTACCGTCCGGTGTTTCGATGATGTATGTCCGTGGGTTAAGCTGGCTTATACAAGTAGCGAGCTCCCATTCGTGCGAGTAGTCGGATGGTTGTACGCGGACTTTCTGTCCCGGTGCTAATTGTGACAGCGCTCTCGTTCCCCGGTCGTAGTATTTTTTCTGCTTTGCCCTCCGCTCTGCGATTTGATTCTGAGTTGCTTCTCTGCTGGTGGGTTTCTGTTGTTCTCGCCCGGCTGGCGTCAGAGTTCCCATCTCCCTGTTGAAGAGTTTCTGGTATGGTGAAGTTCCGTCCTTCTGCGGTGTGGCTCTCCACTCGAGAAGTGCTTGTTGGAGGTTTTCTCCTAGATGCGTCGTTTTCTTGACGATTCTTTTGGCGACTTTGACTGCGGACTCACTCTTCCCGTTCGACTGGTGATTGTGAGGTGAGCTTCGTATGTGCTTTATGTGCCAGCTTTCGAGAAATTGTTGGAACTCGCTGCTGAGATATCGAGGATCGGAATCGGTGTGGAGTTCTGAGGGCCGACCGTACCTTGCAAGGAGGTTCTCCGTCTTCCGTATTATGTTCGATGTGGTGGTCTCCCTGCCGAGGCAGTCCAGCTCGAAGAAGTCTGAAAAACCGTCGATCGTAACGAGGTAGTGCCGGCCCTCCCAAACGAAGAGGTCTTGGTGTATCGTTTGCCAGGGGTGTTGAGGAATCGGTTTGTTTCTTAATGGTTCCCTTCGTTGTTTCGGCCTGTATATTTGACAACTCTCACAAGACTCCACAATGTTCTTGAGATCGTTGCGAATGCCCGGCCAGTAGATCGTGCCGCTGGCTCGTCTGCACATAGCGTCGTATCCGAGATGTGATTTGTGCGTGCGTTTCGCTAGTTCTGCTCGGAGAGCTTTTGGGACGATCACCGCGGATCCCTTGTAAATGATTCCGTCGTCTTCGATCAACTCATCTCGAATCGTCCAGTACCTTTGGAGCTGTGGGCTTCTAACCTTCCAGCCGTTTCGTATGGCTTCCTTCAGCTTTTCGCTGGTTTCGTCGTTTCTCGTCGCTGTTTGGAGTCTCTCATGTAGGATGTCGGATATACGGCCTGAGTCCCGGTGGTCGATCTTCTGCAGCTGCAGTCTTAGTATGCTCTCCTCGGCGAGCTCGCTTGCTGTCGGTTTGCGACTAAGCAGGTCCGCTATCGGGTTGTTAGTCCCCTTGATATATTCAACTTTGAGTGCATATCGCTGAAGAGCTAACCTCATTCTTTGTAGTCTCTTCGGGCAGGTGTCGAGTGGTTTCTGGAATATTGTTTCGAGGGGTTTGTGGTCTGTTTGAACCACAACCTCGCTGACCCCGTAGATGTATTGATCGAACTTCTGGCACGCTAGGAGGATGGCCAGACATTCCTTTTCAATCGTTGCGTATGACTGTTCTGTCTTGCTGAGTGTCCGTGAGGTGTATGCTATCGGACGTCCTTCCTGAAGCATGACTCCGCCTGTGCCGTGTTCACACGCGTCCGTTTGAATCACTATGGGTCTTTCGGGGTCGTAGTATGCTAGCGTCGGTGTTTCCGTCAGTTGTTTCTTTATCTTCTCGAATGCTTCCTGCTGCTCCGATTGCCAGGCGAAGTCGTATTTATCCGTCTGAGTCAACCTCCTCAGAGGCTCTGTTGTTTTCGATAGGTTAGGAATGAACTGCATGAGGTAATTGACACAGCCGAGAAATGTCTGCGTCTCTTTGACGTTTGTTGGTGGCTTCATTTTGATGATCGCGTTCGTTTTTTCCGGATCAACTTTCAGGCCCTCTCGGCTGATGATGTGTCCGAGGAACCTCACCTCGATCTGTCCGAGCTTCAGCTTCTCTCTGTTAAATTTGAGTCCAATCTCTTCCGCTCTTTCGAAGAGTGCCTTCAAATTTTCGTAGTGGTCTTTACGCGCCTCCTCTACGTCGTCCCCCGTTCCGAAGACGAGCGTATCGTCAGCTACGACGATGACTCCCTTCAGACCGTCGTATGCCTGGATCTGCCTCATTTGATATTCTTCCGGCGCGGATGCGATGCCCTGTGGCACTCGTCTGTATCGGTATCGGCCCAATGGCGACCAAAAGGTGGTCAGGTCTGCGCTTTCTTCGTCGAGTTCCATTTGGTAGAACCCGTCGCTGGCGTCGATGACTGTGAAAATCTTCGCATTTCTCAGTCGGTGGAGTGCGTCTTGTAGAGTGGGCATGGGATACCGCGGCCTCTCGATGGCCTTGTTCAGGTAGTGTGGATCCAAGCATATCCGGAGTTTCTTTCCGTCGCGATGGACTGGGACGATGTTGTTGACCCATTTGGTTGGGTGTTCTACTCGCTCGATGATGCCTGCAAGTTCCATTTCTTTGATTCTCTTAATCAGAGGCTCGATTAGCGCTACAGGTGTGCGTCGGGGTGGTTGTTGTACTGGGGTCGCGCCTGGTTTGACCTGAATTTTGACCTTGTTCGGTAATCTCCCCAAGCCGACGAAGATTTTCTCATGCTGTTCTTTTAGTTTGAGGAGTTTCTCCTGGTAGTTCTCGGTTATCTGATTGACACATTCTACCGCTGGTGACAACTGGATCAGCTCGAGGTCGAGGCATGTTTGCGCTGAGATCAGGGTATCGGCGTTGTCCGGTATGACTTGGAATCTGAGCTCTTGTGATCCGTTGTGCTGTCTGATGTTAATGTCGACAGTACCAGCCGTTCTGGTTGAGCTGTTGTCGTACATGTTCAGCGTGGTGCGCTTCGTTGGGTCCAGCTCGCTGACTTTAGCGTTCCAGGCCCTCAGCTTCTCGAGTGTCTGCATGCCGACGACATTCACTGTCGCGCCAGTATCCAAGAGAGCTTTCAGCTTGAAGCTTCCACGCGTTTTACGTGATGGTACGGCGAGCGTTATGTACATCTTTCTTGCTCGCTGGTTCGATCTGGTTGCATAGATGTCTTCCTCGGATCCAGAGTTGTATTCGTTCCTCGTCTCCTCTCCATCGGATTCGTCGTCCTTTATCATATTTATCTTCGCGCGATGGTTCTGCCGGTTCCGATCCGATCGGCAGACTTTTGTGAAGTGACCTCTCTTTTGGCACGTTTTGCATATTTTGCCGTATGCTGGGCATTTGCCCGATGGGTGTGAGCTACCACAGTAGGTACAGTTGGTCACGTTTCTGACGTTACTCCGAACTCGGTTCCGGACGACGTTTGCTGTCTCTTCGGTTTCCGATCGCTGCTGCGCGATGTGTTTCACCGATTTTTCGTTATCTTCGTACATCTCGATTATTTGAGACGCTCTCTGGACGTCTAGCTTCGTGTATTCTTCCCGAAAGCAGGCTTCCTGAGCCTTGGTGTGTCTCGAACCGAGGACGAATAGGTCCCTTAGGATCGTCTTGGCCTCGGGTCCGAACTCGCATTTCTTGAGTTGTCTGTTCAGTCGTTGGAGGAAATCTTTCGTTGTTTTCAGTTAACTCTTGCCTGGATCGATATAGTATGAAGCGTTGATATAACACATTCCGGTGGGTGTGAAACTTTTTGGCCAAGCCTTCGATCGTCTTTTCGAGTTGTCTGCACGGTTTCATGCCTGTCGGATCTGCCGAGTCACCTGCGATTGGTCCGATGTCTAGGTTCTCCACTAGCTGCCGGTTGTCCTCGCCGAGGACGGCTCGGAATTTGGCCATCTGTATGAAGGGTCTTTCCTCGAACAACTTGTCGACGATGGCATAATCCAGGAATGCTCCTTGGAACGCTTTCCAGCGATCCGTGTTGTCCTCTCCCTGGATAACCCTCATCGGCCGAGGTATCGGCATCCAACTGTCCCGGACTGCTGGTCCTCTCGAGTTCTCTGCTGTGTTGGTCATCACGAGTCACTTTCTTGCGGATAATTTCTCTCAATTTTAGCACAATTTGGTTCGAAATAGCGACTGCGCCATGTAATGTGATGACACTCGAGATGTTCGTGAGACAACTGGCTTTTATTGTGATCTTTGCTCTGGTCTCGAGGCGTCGCGCTGTGGCGCCTAACAGGCTTGGTTGCTGGTTGTTAGTTCTCGATTTGCAAGCGTTGCCGAGATGCCCGATTTTGAAGCATTTCTCGCATTCATATGTTTTATACTTGCAGTCATTTGAATGATGGTTGGGCTTGTTGCAACGATAGCATATGTATGAAGGACCAATAATGATTTTACTAGTACTTGTACGTTGTTGGGGGCGTCCCGTTGTTTTCGACGTTCGACCTTCTACTCCGTTGATGTTTCTTCTATTTGAAGCGCAGAGATCCCTTTTGATAGATTCGAAGTGATCCAGATCATCCATGATCTGTGAAAAACTCAAGTTTCGATCCTGCTCGAGAAGTCGAGCGGCTCTCGTGCGAGTGTCGGAGTCGTCATGACTTTGCAGGGAAAGCATCAAGATGTATTGTTTCATCTCGTCTAGGGTTATATCACCCCATTCGGCTTCTTCAGCGGCTTCATTGATGGCGCTGGTGAGCTCTTTCAAGTTGCGTCCGTCTCTTTTTATGTTCAGTGAACGCATTCTTCGCTTGAACAAAGTGATTTGCGTCGAAAATATTTTCTTTAATATTTCGATCGTTTCCTTTGGTTTCAAGTCTTCGACTTTTTTTGGACGAATGAAGTTAACGAAGTGAACATATTCGTTGGTGTTCAGCTGGATACTACCAGACGAATTCTGTCTATCTCCGGAAGCACGGCTCCTTCAGTTTCAAGGATCGAGCTGTATCGCACATACCATTTCTCGAATGTGTGTCCAGTATCTTCATTGTACGAAAATTTCGAAATCCTGGTGTTCAGATGTTCCATCACCGAATGCGCTGAGGTGGGTGTTGATTTCGCCGCTTTGAGGGCTTGGGCTACCGCTTGCCCGATAAGCTCCTGCACTTGTTCTGGTGAGAAACTCATCTTGAAGTGAGTTCGGAAGTTTCCTCGTCGCCAACTGTTGTGGTGTAAGGCGGTAGGTATTGGAACATCAAGGAGGACACCGTCGAGTTCACCTGGTTACTACTCAGCTCGTACTTGGCTCGTACTTGCTCGTACTTGTTTATTCTGGGATCGGTGGCTCCTTTTATAGTTCTCTAGAGCAAGGGCCACTTTTAACCTTGACATCTCGATATCCGCTATGCTGACTCAGAATCGTTGTAATCTGGTTAGCAGTTTTCCAGTCTACGCGTTAGGCTGGAAAGCCGACCGCGACACCGTGCAACCATGTCGGGTCGGTGACGTGCTTAAGAAGCAACCCCTCAAGTAAGCCGTGCCTGAGTGGAGTATCGTTGGAGAACAGCGGACACGACATTCTTCCGATCGAGGTCCTAATTTTGCCTCAAAATTCTCCTATTTTGCCCATGTTGGGGCACTCGGCAATCATCCCTGGGCAAACCGAGTTTTGGCCCAGTTGGTTTTGGCCCAGTTGGTTTCGGCCCAGTTGGTTCGTTGGCCCACTTAGTTTTGGCCCATTTGGATTTTGGCCCAGCTGGTTTTGGCCCAGTTGTCCTGCACCGGACGATGATGCGCACACAGGACAGTCGACGTTTGTGATAGAGAACGAGGAGGAGGAGGAAGAGCCGCCTGCCGGGATGAAACGAGTGTCCCTGCAGGAAACGAGTTCCCCGGCAGTCCCGATGGCTAAGAGACGGAAAAAGCAGCTTCCAATCGATACGTTTGTCGTTGCTAAGCATAGCATCAAGAGTGAGATCATAGAGATGATCTGCGAATCGAATTTGAGTATGAATCAGATTGTCAAGTCTGCCGCTCTGCGAAGAACTCTGACTTCTGCGTACCCAAGAGATCCGCCTCCTCCGAAATCGATTTCCACTCTACGAAGAATGCTGGAAGGAGAAGCGGCCAAAATTCGGAACAACCTGCAGAACAACTTGAAAGAAATACGAGAGAAAGGTACGAGCTCCCCCAGAACATCTCCCGGGCTTTGGTTCTTCCGACCTTGTAGCTTTTCGAGAATGTTCTTCGCGTGCAATATCATTTGGGTGTAATTTTCCAGGATTCAAATTCGCTCTGTCCTTCGATGAAGCTACAATCATCGGGACGGACCGGTACATTACCGTGAACCTCCATCACTCAGTTTCGATCTTCGGTGGTTCGAGGGTCGCCCCGTTGGGTCTCATCAGGGCCACTCAACATGCTACAGGAGAGTATTTGTGCAATGTTATCGGTGAGCGATTGCGTTCATTCGGCATGTCAGGAGACGATTTCGTGGCAGCCGTCACTAACGGAGCTTCGAATGTACTCAAGGCAGTCGATCTCCTTGGGCTTCGGAAACAGAAGTGCTATGCACATGGCATTGATCTCGTCGTTCGGAAAACGATTTACGGGAGCGAAGCTTCAGCTTTTGACATCACCATCCTCCAGGACGTAAGCGATAGGAATGTTTCTCAAGTCACAGTCGACGGTAGAGACGATTCCGACGATGATTCGATCGGCAGGAGGAGGACCGATGAGGAGGAGGACGAGGATTCTGTCGGAATGATAGTGCCGCTCGGCGAAGTTCTCGGACGTCTGCGAGCCGTAGCTCGCAGTTTCCGCAGAAAACCAGTCCTGATGGATGAAGTTCGAAGAATCACGGAGAGGGACGAGTACAATATGAGAGCGCTGATTGTGGAAATCGATTGTAAGACTAGATGGAGTTCCACACTTCAAATGATCGAGCGAGCCCTCGAAATCATGCCGGCAATCAATAATGTGTTAGTGATGGGACACCCCTGAGTACGAGTGATGCCATGGCGTTGAGGAAATTGAAGCAGATCCTCGCACTCTTTAAACGGGCGATCTTAGTCCTCTGCAAAAGTGAAGCAAACCTGCTCCACGCGGACAGAGTGTTCCGGCTCTTAATGCAGGATCTCGAAGAGTCTCACACGGAGCTCGGTACCGTCCTACTCGAGAATTTGAAGGAAGAGATCCGAAAAAGACGCACTATCCTATCCAGCGTTCTCGCAGTATTAGAAGATCCCGAGTATGACTTCAACCTGGAATATTCTCTCGCTCAAGAGAGACCCTCTGACGAGATGATGTTGCACTGTCTGGCTTCAGTCCTCGATGCGAGTGAGGTGCCCGAGGACGACTCATTTCCCCCCGATGTATTGGGCAATTCTCCGGTGAGATCCTCTGCCGCTGATCAGAGCATAGCGAGGGCGAGGCGATGACTCGCTTGTGGAGCATTTTTTAACTCAAAGGAATTCCATTGCAGACAGTCACTTGGGACTCAATCTTCATCGGATCCCGAGGGGTTTCCGGAAACGCCGCAGCGATTCCCAGTGATCAAATGCGGAGGGAACTACTGAGCCGGGAACTCTCTATCTTCAAGTCTGCGGGGGGCCGCGGGCGCCTGTTGAACACGTGCTTGGAGACCTTAAGAGCTATTCCACCAACATCTGTGCAGGCGGAGCGAGACTTTAGTGTTGTCCATTACATCGTTGGAGAAAATCGGGCAAGACTTAAAGCAGCAACCCTCAATGATATTGGGGCAGATCACCACTACGACACTGAGAATACGTCTAGCAGAGTCAATGGCGGATAGCCGAATGTTTATTACACATCGTCGTTCTCCGGGAATGAATCGAGTCCGTTGGCCGCCGCGGGCGGCCCACTACACACCTCCCCCCCAGTGTTGCCGTCAACACGGCCCGAAGTGACCGCCGTCACGAAATCTTGAAGGTGCCTAGGAAGGCGCGTATCCCGGCTGGATCTCCTGGGAGGAAGCGGGGGTATCGGTGACGACGTCGCGTCGAGATTTTCTGTCTCTTCCAGGTTGGCGCGCTTGAGACGGTCTACGGTCACGTGATCCTCTCGGCCATTCAGGTCCAGCTTGAAGGTTTTCGGGCCCGTCTCCAGGACGCGGAAGGGTCCCTCGTAGCGACGAGACAGCGGCGGTTTGACGGCGTCAACCCGCACGAAAACGTACTTAGCGGCCTCGAGCGGAGTGGGGATGCCCCCGGCGTCGCGGGCGTCGGTTCCGTTCTGCCACCGCGGAGGAACCGGCATGAAGGCGGCGAGGCGATCTCTCAGCTGATGTAGGCGTTGCTCCGGGATCTCGAATGCTTTTTCCTGTACGAATTCACCGGGAAGTCGAAGCGATGCACCGTATACGAGCTCGGCACTCGAACATCCCAGATCGTCTTTGGGCACCGTGCGCATACCGAGTAACACCCAGGGGAGTTCCTTGACCCAAGTTGATGATGCAAGTCGTGCTGTCAGGGAGGCCTTCAATTGCCGGTGCATGCGCTCCACCATTCCGTTTGCTTGAGCATGGAAAGCCGTCGTCCGATGTAATTCAACGCCGAGAGCTTCTGCGAGGTGTGTCCAAATGTGAGAGACGAATTGCCCGCCCCGGTCTGAAGTGATGTGCGATGGAACACCGAAGCGTGCAACCCACGTGTTCAGGAAGGCTCGAGCGCAGGTTTCGGCGGATATCTCTCGCAAGGGCGTAGCCTCAGGCCACCTGGTATACCTGTCAACGACGGTGAAGAGGTATTGGTAACCGTTGGAGTAAGGAAGCGGCCCGACTATATCGACGTGGACATGATCGAAGCGCGTCGGAGGCAGTCGGAATTTGCCGAAATCGCTCTTAATGTGGCGGTGTATCTTGGCCTGCTGGCACGCGACGCACGTCTTTGCCCATTGCCGTATCTCTTTCGCGAGTCCGCGCCAAATGAAGCGTCTTGCAATCAGCCTGATCGAGGCATTGGCTCCCGGATGCGATACGCCATGTAGTAGATCGAACACTCGGCGACGCCAGCTGGAGGGTAGCCACGGCCGTGGGTTGCCTGTTGGGACGTCGCAAAGGAGGACCGGTGCGCCTGGCGTCCATTCGATGTCTTCCCATGTGAGGTTTGTATCAGCCTGCTGACAGGAGGCATACTCGGGGTCTGTTTTCTGGTCCTGCGCGAGCTGCTCATAGTCGATGCCAAGGGATACGTTGTTAGCTATGGCGACACGCGACAGGGCGTCCGCGACGACATTTTTCTGCCCGGATATGTGTTGGATGTCTGAGGTCAGCTCGGAGATGAAAGAAAGGTGTCTTTGCTGCCGTGATGAGAGTGGGGTGCTCTTCTTCGCCATGCTGAACGTCAGAGGCTTGTGATCCGTGAAAATGGTGAAAGGGCGGCCTTCGATGTGATGCAGGAAGTGCCTTGTCGCCAGGTACATAGCGAGTAGCTCCCTGTCGAAGGTGCTGTACCGCGTTTCGGGATCTCTCAGTTTCTTGCTAAAGAACCCGAGCGGTTGCCAAACGCCGTTCCTTAGCCGTTGTTGGAGAGCAGCGCCCACGGCCACGTCTGAAGCGTCAGTGACTATGGCAAGGGGGGCGTTCTCAACGGGATGAGCGAGCAGAGTCGCCTGTGCCAGAAGCTCCTTGGTTGCATGGAGGGCGGCGAGTGTCTCTGTGTCCCAGGGTACGGCGGTGCCTTTCGCCTTCGAGCTGGGGTCCAGAACTTTGATCAAGGGTGCCATCACCCGGGCCGCCTGGGGAAGGAAACGGTGGTAGTAGTTGACCATTCCGATGAACCGTTG